GCATCGCCTGAGAATGCATCAGAGACACAAATCCCCGGGCCCCACCCCAGGAATTCCACGGATGGGCTCCAACAATCTGTGTTTAAACAAGCGCTCTGGGGAACCCTGACCACACTCACATTTGAGAATCCCTGGTCTAGTGCTTCCCACAGTTTGCAGAAGTTTACAAAGTGCAGCTGCCCTAGGCTGTCACCACCTTCAGTTTGAAGCGTCACAGGCAGAGCTTGGGAAACGAAGGGCGATGGTGGAGACGCTGGGCTGGCCGGGGATCTTCCACATCACAAGATCCACATCCTTCCCATGCTCGTTCTCGACAGCAGGCAGGACTCAGGGCAGGGCTGCCTCAGTAGACTTCCCAGGGCTGCCAGGAGGGGTGACCCAGCTGGGACCTCATGGAGGAATGTGGCGCTGAGCTGTCCTCACGATTGGTAAGTTCTCAAAAGGGGTTGGGGGAGCCAGTACTCTTGAAAGTTTCATGGTAAAACAAAACAAAACAAGCACACCAAAAACAACAAAAAATAATAGAAAAACCATGCTGTCGCTGTCAAAAGCACAGCCTGGCAGTAGGTGACCAACCATCACGGTTTGCCCAGGACTAAACGGTTTCCTGTGAGGCAGGGCTTTCAAGACTAAAGCCAGGAGAGTCCCGGAGAACCTGGGACACGCTGGTCACCTGAGCAGCAGGGCAGCAGCAGGTGCTGTTTCGCTGAGGAGGGAGGCCTGCCTGGCCACGGGAGGACACCCAACAACTCCGGCAAACGTTTCTGGCCCTTCCTGCCACGGGAGACTTTACTGGTCTGCGTGAGTAGGTGCAGAGGTTTCCCTGTGTCCTTTCTCCCTCTACCCCACACACATGCACCAAAGCCCACACCCCTGCAGGAGGACATTCCTTCAGCAGGGTGCCTCCTGCCTGACCCTCGGGCTCCTAACTCTGGGCCATTGCTTCAGCCACTCCAGGGACTGTCCGGCCTCCCTCTGCTCCTGCCTACCCGAGGTCTACCTGGGAATTCTCCCACGTTGTCCCAGATCCTCTCTTCTTGCCCCTTTGGAATTAAGTATCCTTCCCCCAAGCACCTCTGAATTCCTCAAGCCCAACACTCAGGCTGCTCTTTATCAGAATGACTTTCGCAGAATGATTAGCAGCAACAGATAACTGCCCAGTTTTCAAAAGTACTTGCCACTTACGGGAATCCTCCTGTCAACCCGGTGGTGGAGGGGATATCCTCACACCTAAAACTCACAGTTAAGTTAACCAGGCCTCTTAAAACTGTGCAGAGGAGGTGGCAGGGCTAGCACGCCAGCCTAGACTCAGGGCCTCAGCCTCTTATGCTGTGTCAGTCTTTTCATTCCCCGAGCCCTGCCAGTGAGGACAAGTCCCTGTGCACCTCGGTGGGCCTCCAGTGTGGCCATCACAGGGCTGGACAGAGAGCAGATGCTCGGCGAACGTTCGCCAGGTGAAGGAGAGGCCCTTGTGAGCGGCAGGGATGCAGACACATCTGATGACCAAAGGAGCAAGGGCTGGCATGTGCCTGGAGCCAGCATACCCAGAAAGATGCCAGCACCTGGGGACCTTTGTGCACACCTGCTGAGTGACCACAGAGGCTTCACAGCACCGGAGCCCTGTGCTCTGTGGGAGAGGCTAATTCCTTGAGGATTACCGAACAGGCAGAAGTTGTGGAAGTGGCCACGGCCACACTCTGTCTGGCATACTGGGCACTACTCACGTGTGGGATTCTGGGCTGAGCTCAGTGAGGACCAAGAGAAGTACACAAGATATTCTCTGTCACTGGTCTAATCTGCCAGGCATGCCATGGCTGTGAGGTACTCTGCTGTCCTCTTGCCCAGAGTCCATGTCTGCATCCTCGGGTTGTAACCCCTCTACCTGGATTTTCCTCTGAGAAGCCACCACCCCTACTTAACCTCCATCCATACACCTCAACTGCCAAGGGTGGTCACATGGCCCAGTCCTGACCAATCAGCACATTCCATCCCATAGACCACCATGATTGGTCCAAAGATGGACATGTGACCCAAGCTGGTCCAGTGAAAGTCAGCCCCAGGACTTCAGTTGAATGATTGAGGAAGAGAAGTTCTCCTTGTAGGGAGATTACCAACTGTAAGGTGGATGGAATTCTGGACCCTGGAGCCACAGGGACCAGGCCAGCCTGAGAGAAAAGGCAACCAAGGAGAAACCAGAAGGGAGAGATGAAGGCAGAAATCCACTACCATCATCACATAAGACCTGCTGCTGGAATATCCTGATACTTGAGCCAAAAAACAAACATCTCTCTCTCTAGTTTTGGTATCACTTAAGCCACTTCAAGATGGGTTTCTGCCACTTGTAACTGAAAAAGTCCTGCCATATCAAACCACACCTGCTGTCCTCGCACCCAGAAGTGCCTTCAGGCCCCAAGCTCAACATGAGGCCTCTGTCCCCTCACACCAGGCAGCCCCCACCCACCTCCCCTTCTCTGCAGCCCTCACCCGCCTCCCCCTGGTCTGGCTTCAGCCCCTTGCGGGTGGTCTGGGCCTGAAGTATCTCAAAGGTCCTCACTTGACCCCAGTCTGGCAGCTTACCCCAGTCCACTCTCCACGGTGTCAGGAAAGCTGACCTTTCTGAAGCAGGCCATGCGGGGATTGTGTTCCTTCCCTGCCCAACACCTACATGGGCTCATCGCTGCCCAGAGCAGGGTTTCCTAAAGGATGGGGTGCCTGTCCCTGCAGTTAAGGGAGCTGGCTCTAGACGGCGCATGGACCTGGCCTCAGACCCACGGAAACAGAGAACAAGAAACTAAGCCCGCTTCTGATTCTCTCACAAACTTCCTAATTTCATTCCAGAGAAGAACCTCTGCACAGTGTTACCACAGCTCTGACGCCTCTCTGCCACCTGCTCTCTCCCTTTTTGCCAGAGAGAAGGCCTCCTGCTCAGAACCTTCCACGGCAGGCTAGAATGTTAAAACATTGGTTTGTTTTCATGGCATTTGTTTTTAGGGTCACCTTCTATTTATGCAAGTGATTCTCCTTTTTTATTAATAGCACTTATATAAAGTTTTCTTTGAAAATTAATTTGTATAAACTCAAAAGTGAGTCTATTTAAAGAAAAAAATAAGGCAAACGACAAGGAGGCATTTGGATATGGTGAATGTTTGGCAACAATGATTCACAGGTTGATATGTGATCTACTCAGCCAGGCACACAAGGCCCTTCTCACTTCGCCCCTCGACCAATCCTTCAAACCCACTGAGGCTCTTGCAACTCTCCAGATCAGTCTGTCAGAGTCAGAGCTCCAAGCCTTCACCCCGTCGTTCCTTCTGCCTGGATGCCCTTTTCCCACAACCCCTTTATCAACTGAGAACAATTCCATTTATTATTTAAGGGTCCCAGTCAGTGTTACTGCTGCCTGTGGTTGCAGTTTGGCCCAGCTACTCAAGGATTTCCAGCGCACCGGGAAACCAGTGTCTGAGCTCTCTCGGGCCACTTTTTGAGGGTTGCTGGCAGAAGGGCCTTCCTTGAGGCTGAGAGATCCCGGAGACCAGAATGAACTTTCAGGTCTGTGTCTGGCACAGATGCTCAGTGAACACAGGATGAATGGAACAGACTGTAACGAGAGCCTGTGGAGTCATCCGGTACAAGCGCACCTGGAGCCCAAATAGCGAAGGGAGAGGAATTCGAAAGGAAGGGAAGGGCGTGATCTCCAGGGTCAGGGGCCTAAGGTCAGACCCCACAGTACCGCCCGGGGATTCCTTCAGGAGAGAGGAGAAGGGTGAGCACCTGGCTTGGAAGGATGCTGCAGAGGCCTGGAGCAGAGGACCTGGCAGGCTGAGGTTCTTGATTTCGACTTGCATTTGAATCACCTCAGAACTTGCTTTGATGCCAGTTCCTAAGCCCCACCCTCAAGGCTCTGACTCGGTGTTTGAAGTGGGCCTGCGAACCTGCACTTTAAAATGAATGCTTTGGGGGGTGGGGAATGGCTCAGTGGTAAAGTGTGTGCTTAGCAAGCGTGAGGTCCTGGACTCAATCCCCAGTACCTCCATTTTTTAAAAAAAGTATCTATAAATTTAGAAAAAAATTTTCTTTTAAAAAAAGAATGCTTCAGGTGAGGCTGAAGGCCACACTCTGAGAAGAACTGGGCCACAGGAGTCAGATGAGAATGGAGACAGGTAGGGGCCTGGCAGACAAAACACAGAAATGCCCCCGAACTGCAAAAATTTCCCCAGAACACTGCATTCCCTGCCTGGACACTGAGAGTCTGAAATCACAGCTTCCCAGAGAACAAGCCTCGTCAAGGTTATTTAAAATATGCCCCAAATAACTCAGCAGAGATGTGTTTAATGAGGTAGATCCACATATAAGCTCGGGCATTCTCCAGGCCGCAATTTGAGTGATCAATCCCAGATACAGAATCTCTTGTTAGCGACCTTATCAACTAGCAATTGTAAGCAGGGAACTTGACCCCCATGGGTCAGAACTGAGGCTATTTCTGGCTAAAGAAACCCTCCTTTGTTTGCAATCAAATTGTTCACAGATGAAATCAAAGCCAACAAGTGAAGGGAGGGGGCTTTCGCAGAATTCGCTGCAATGGCTGAAAGGCATCTGTGTAACTTTGCTCCCAGAGCTGCCACTTCAGCTCTGTACTAATTGCTTCCTTACGTGTGAATGAAAAGCAAAAATGAAACCACTCTCAGGGGAGGGGTATTGAAGACCAGTGCCCAGGGCTGCCTCCCTGAGAGGTCTGGCCCGCCGAACAATCCAGGCCGAGTCACTTATCAAATGGAGATTGACTTTTATCTGATTAACCAATGGAGAAACATCCTTCTCCATCTCCCAGAAACCTTCTGTGGGAAAGGCGTTTTGCAGACTGCAGGGAAAAGTTGGGCCTTGGCTTCCCTCCTGCTCGGCCAGTGGAAAATTACAAAGGAAGCAAGGCTGCCCTCTGCTACACTCACAGGGCCCCAGAAAACACAGAGAGAAACCCAGGATTGGAGCCAGCCTTCACTTACCTGGGGCAGAGAGGAGTCTGGGGGGCGGCGGGGGTGGGGGTGGCGGGGGCAGCGGGGGAGGGGGCCGGCACTGGCAGATGTGTTGACAGCTGTCGGTCACCTTGGAGCAGGACTTCTGGGGCTCACCGTGTGTCACCTGCAGAAATGGGACAGGCGCCCAAGAGAAGACAGTTAGTCACCTGGGAGCTGAAATGGGACCCCCTCCCATCTGCCCCTCAGACCTAGGCAGGAAGAAGAGACAGAAGCCGGGTTGGCTCAAACGGAACAACGTCATGGGAGGCTGGCCTGGTAGGACCGGAGACCAAGTTTTATTTCCAGCTCTGCCAGGAGCCAGCTATGGGAACGTGGTAGTCGGCCTGGGCATTAGTAAGAGGCCGACGAGAACTTGAAGGTTAACTCCTACAATCTCCTCGTCGAACGCATGAGGAAAGTGAGGCCCAGGCCGGAGACGTGACTGCCCCAGGTTCTCACAGTCGGACGGTGACAGGATACTGATTTTACCTCCTCAGTAACCTGACCCAACCACTCCTCCAGTCTTCCCTGCGGCAGGGCAGGACCAAGCCCTTGCCTCCTCTCTGGTCACAGCTCCTGACAGCCTGCCTGTGCCCACTCTGGGCCAAGGTCCCCCCACCCTGGGGGAGCAACCTTACCCAGCTGGGCCTCTGCTCTGGTGGCCCATGAGGCCAAGGGGAGTAGAACAACCTCCCCAACATTATCCAAGAGGCCCCTGAGTGGTCCTGTGGGGAAAAAACCGCCCGCACCTGCCACGGCCCCCAGATGCCCGCTCACAGCTCGGGATCACGAGGCCACAGGGCCCCACTAGGAGGCCCCCAGCAATGCCTCCAGCCCCAGCTCCCTCATTCTCTCATCCTCTGCTCTGCCCTCGAGGCCTTCCTTCCAGTCCCTGACCCCTGGCCACGCTCTCTCCCTTTGAGAATGCTGCTCCAATGGCCTGGAATGTTCTCCCACACGTTTTCCCTGCTGCGATGCCAGTTACTCAGCTTGGCTGTCCCCTCCTCAGGGAAGCATCTCCAACCCACCCCTGACCAGGTCACATCTCCATTTTACAGGTTCTCTTGGGATCACGGGCAGCAAATCTCCACTGCGCTGTTTACCTGGTTCAACCCCCTATTTACCATTGGACTATAAAGTCCATAGGGCCAGGGGTCAGGCCTTTTATTTTTTTCTCTCTTGCCATCATAACACCTAAAGGCGTGCCTGGAATTCCCCAGAATCCATGCCTCCTGAATCCTGGTCTGGTGTTCTTTTGACATCAGTCCCAGTTTCCCCATCTGTAAACTAACAAGGGGAGCAAAGTGGGTTGTGCTCAACCAGCGGTTCCCAGCCCTGACTGCACATCAGAATCTCCCAGGCAGCTTTAAAAAATGCTCACGCTGAGCCTTTCCCACACCAGTTAAGTCAGAGTTTCTGCAGGTGGAGCTGGGCGTGTGTATGTTGTCTAAACACCCTAGGTTAAACTTCTAATGTACAGCCAGTGAGAAAATGGCTGGTTTAGACCAACTGCCAGCATCCCTCCCTATGACAGTGTGCCATAAATCCTTGCGTCTAGCATTTTCTGCCTGTCCCAGGGAACAGCTGGTTTAAAGGCAGAAAGGAAAGAGTTGGTGGTCACCCTCTACCTCAGTGATGCCTCGTCTCCAGTGAGGAGACACCTAACCCCAATTTCCCCGCAAACAGCCACGTGTGGCTGCCTTCAGAGGCTAATGTAGACCCTTTGCTGCATGCGTCCCAGCCCCGCAGAGAGAGCCGGCAGGGCTCGACTGCTCCCTCCCCACTTGGCAGATGTGAACAGGAGGGATCTAGCCACCCGGATGGCAGTAGGAGGTGGATTGATTTATAGCCCTGACTTCACATCTACGAGGCCAAGAAGCTCCGCCTCACCACCTTCTAGTGTTTTTAAAGGACCATGGACTGCATTTCAAACTCTGGAAGGCAATCTTATCTCCCACCGGGAAAAGCCTATCCTCAAGATAGTAAACTTTTCCTCAATTATTTTACAGAGAAGAGTAATTCCTTAGAGGTCATGGCTAATCCACTGCCTTCTCCTCCGGTGCAGTTGTCAGCCCTCCCATCCCCATCATCGAGACGGTCCTCTGGATTTCAGATCTTCTAAGACCATGGGGAATGCTCGAAAGCTCCCTTCTCCCAGCGGCTGGCCTCTGAGATCGCTTCTCCACCGAACTCTACCGAGTTTGTGCGAACTTCGAGCAATGCCATTGCCAAAGCAATTACTTTCCCACTCTCCAAAGTGCAATTTATGCGAGAGAGTTCAAGAGGAGCACATTTGCTTAACCTGGCCCAACACAATGACCTATTTTTGTGAGAGGATTTGAGGGCTCAGATGTATAAGAGCGCTCAATGTGATGAAATTACAGGCAGGGAAATCGGGCCAAGTTTCAAGGCTGAAGGGGTGGGGGGAGAAGGCGCACACTGCATTCTACAGATCTGTGGTCTCTCACGTAACAGTCTCACTGAAATGGGAGAGGGCACCACTGCTTAACCAACCATCACCACACAGGTACCCAGCCTGGGCTGGCTGTCCTTCTCCCCGAGGTGCGGGCCCCTCACCGGCGTTTGGTCCAGTGCAAGCCTATGGCCGCTGAGCCTCCCTTGACTGACAGTTGGTTACTCAGGCCCTTTATCCACTTGCCAACTTCTCTTCATCCTTTAAACCTAGCTCTTGCATAGTCTTCCCAGGCAAGCCATCCTGAACCCATCCCGTGGCCCCCCGCATTAGACCCACCTGCCCAGTGCTGCCTCTTCACCTTGTAAATCCTCCTTTTGGGGGCACTTTCCTCGCTGTTCCATAATGTCTGTCACCCCACACCAAGTTGTGAGCATCTTGGAGCAGAAAGGTAGGTGGGTTTGTGCTTTACAAATCCTGACCAAGTGTGACTCCCTGAGCCCTACTGTGTGTCAGTCATGGGAAACAGGTGCTCACTTCACTACGAGGATGATGGAGCGAGGTAGCTATTATTACACACGTACAGGCTGGGAGGGCCGGCTCGGCAAGGCTAAGTTACGCGCCAAAGTTGCACAGGGCCTGGCATTCAGTTGGTGCTCAGTGAAAACATTTCTTGGGGATGCCCAGCAGCAGAGAAACATGGGATCTGCCCCGTTCCCCAGCACTGTGTCCACTTTGAGGTTCTGCAGATCAGTGAGGTTGTGTTTAGACCAGCAGATAGGAAACCTCAGTACCATGAGCTGGTCCCAACACCTGGCTTGGTTGGCTTATATCCTGGGGAGTCTCACAAGGAGAAGAAACTTGCCCCTGAAGTCACCTGAGCTTGGCTGGACTTGACTATGGAGCAGAGGACCTGAAAGGTCAATGAACTGCCTAAAGCTGGTATCATGACTGCCTGTAACCACTTTTTATTACAGTCTGTCCGTCGCCTGCCTTCCTACCCCACTTTGTAGCATTCTCTGGGGGCCAGAATCCTGAGGCACAGGTAGGTCCTGAAGTGGCCTGGATTTGGTTCCAGTCACGATGGTCTGGGGGACATGGTGCTCCGTGGCAGCCAGTTCCCACTCCTGGCCAGTCGGTGCAGCTCTCTGGTCTGGTCTGGTCCTCCTAAATAGTCCTTGAATCCATCCCTTCCCACTACTACAGCCCTAAACCAGGACACCATCACAGCTCCCCTGTGTAGCCCTTGACCCTCACCGCGGGTTGCCAGATAAAATACGGGATACCCTGTAAAGTATCTTATCTGAAAATTTAACTGGACAGCCTGTATTTTTATTTGCTAAATCCGGCAACCCCACCTCACCCCACCAGCCTCCTTCCCTCTTGCCTCGCCTTCTCCCTGAATCCAAACCTTGAACTGGAGCTGGACTGAGATTTCTAAAATGCCAGTCTGAGATTGTATCACTCCTTTGTTAAAACCTTCCACCGTCCCCAGAGGCCTCAGGATGAAGTCCAAACTGCAAGACATGATGTTAGTGGCCTATCACAGAGGCCTCAAATGCAGCTGCCCTCCCCGGGGTTCCTCCAGTGCTCTGTCCTCTCCTCCGGCCTTGGGGCTGTTCCCTTTGCCCGGACTCTTAACTCACACTTGCATCCTGACTCCTGACTTCTCCTTGTTTGTGTCTCAGCTGAAGCACTACATCTGCGAGGCTTCTAAGGCTCTTGTACCAGGTCTCATCCCCAACTATTCGCTCCTGCTGAGCACTCTTGCCTATAGTGACGTGTTCAGCGATCTCTCCCATGCTAGACTGTCAATGCCACGAGAGCAGAGATCCCCCAGGTCCCTTGCACTTAACATAGGGCCTGGCAAACAGCAGATGTCCAAAAAGTGCTGCTGACTAAATCCACAAAGCTGTGATGACCGACCACGGGGCAGGGGTCAGCACTGCTGGGATCTGGGACGGCTCCTCACCAGCACACAGAGACCCACAGGCCTGGATCAGAGCCTGCCTCTGGGACGAATGCTTCAGGAGGGCATCCACAAGGATGATGGCTTCTGGTGTCTTTTATGGAGACAGGCCAGCACCACAGTAACTTGATGAGATACACTCCTGTCACACCTAATAAATTCGCCAGCCTGTCATCCTCTTCACTTGACAAAAAAAAAAAAAATCATCTGGAAGTGAACTTGGAAGAATCCTAAATCACAAAACCTCAAAATCACAATTCCAGACACATTAAGGAAAAAAGGAAAGAGGCTAAGGAGTGCCCCCACCAACCTTGTGGCTGTTTAACATCATCTGACTTTAATAATTAAGTTTCTTATCATCTAGGCAGCAGCTGGAGGCTTGGGGCTGATCTCAAGGTTGGGACCTGGGACTTTGAGGGACCACAAATCTCTTGCTTCACCAATTATCCTATTAATTACAGGACTTTATGTCAGTTTCACCCTCCCAAATGTTTACGACTTAGGGGGATTCTTCTGGCAAAAAGCTCATGAAAGCACAGATAGATTTCTCTATATTCAAGAAACTCCTATGACGTGACAAATTATATATACAATCTCTCTACTTAAAGGAAAACACAAGCTTTGAGCACTTGGACTTTTCCTCTTCCCCTCTTCTCTTCTGGATTCAGCTCTTTTGCTCAAAAACCAGGTCCATTCATTTCAAAGCCCCCTTTTTCTTGGCTTCTCAGTCCTTGTCATTTGTAGGTTAATTTTTCCAGCACCTTCAGCCAAGATTTTACCCATCCTACTTGTCTGGAGCATTTCTTTTCTCATTGATTTTCACAAAAATTGATTTGTATTGAGTAGCAGCACCTGAACTACACAAACACACACTCACAAACACACAAATCTGCTTGTTAAATACTGCCTGGCTGAAGGATGCTGTTAAAAAAAAAGAAAAGAAAACACACACAAAACAGAGCTACTTCACCCAGTTACTTCTTTTGGCAGGGGTAGGGGGGTGGTCTGCTGTCCCTATCCTGCTAGTTCCCACAGCAGATCTAGTTCCTGGAGACTGACAACATCACCATGTTGCTCTCTGTAATAGCTGAGAAAGTCTCAGAGAAGAGGGAAGACTGTAAACAAATGAATAGAAAAACGAAGTGAGCTGAACATCTGAGGTTCAGCTCAAAGTTGAACAAGAAAATCTGGTCCCAAACCGCCCACGTGTTTAGAAGTGACAAAATTCTGAATCGCAAGGAGGCACAGCTGAGTTTAATAACTGCTGTTTCACACTCTAGACAAAGCTGTCAATTCCGAACAGAAAACAATTGTGAGTGAGACTGAGGCAAGCCGGAGAAAAGAGCAGAAGACAGCCTGATGCTGGGGGTGGAGGGTGTACCCCTCCCCTACTCTAGCAGACCCATCCACTCAAGCTCCCCACCCAGCTGGCTGGTTCTGGCATGAGAGCCCCGGGTTCTCTGATCACCCAGGCTACCATCCAAGTGGGGCTGACCTAGTTGGTTCCAGCAGGACCCCATCACTTGGGACAGTTCATGAACCTCAGCATCCCTTCTTCAGGCTGCACCTCCTACTCAGGGCAACTATCTGAATAATCCCCAATCCCCAAAATGCCACCAGGAGAACATGAAGTGACACCTACCCCAGAGTAGGTATTTCAATGACTGAAATGGAAAAATGTCCTTCAGAGCCTGCCAAACAATTAGCAACTCAAAAATGTTGATCAGACTATGTAGTGATCAACAGGGTACCTGACTAGACAGATAGAAGAGTGACATTACTATTACTAATATCAACGGTGGCAGCAGCAGCTACCATTTACTGTTTACTATGGTCCAGGCACTGTGCTAAGTAATCTTTATCTCATCAAGTACTTACAATAGCACAATGAGGAAGAAGAAAGCAGGGATCAGAGAGGTTAAGTGCATTGCCTAAAGTTCCCCAGCCTGTAAGGGGCAGAGCTGGGGCTCAAAATTCAGAGCTGGCTTCAAAGCTCACCTCTCTACCATTCCACTCACCATACCCCTGACTGTGTATGTTTTGGGAGGGACTAGGGACTATCCCATCTAACCATCTCTCTCACCCAAACAAAGGTCACTTGAGTTGGTGACTACCTGGCCCCTGCCTGGGGGCTGGGGGGCTCAGGGTGAGGACTCCATCACCAGGTAATCCTCACAGATGGACAGCTCCTTCTTACGTACCCCCACTAGTGGCCACCGCACAAAATCTGTCCACATCCCCAATTCCACTACCTACAAGAAGTACAACCCCTTCTTGTGTCGAAGTCCAATTTAAGAAGGCTCATATGAAGTTTACTAGCGGCTCTGGTGGGAAATAAAGAATGGATAGTCTTGGGATCATTTTTAAGTTTGTCAAGCTCTAGGGTTTCTTTGTCTGCATTTCTGCAATAGAACAGCATCATGAAGAAAGCATCCCCTAAGCCCTTTCTGTTCCAAGGACCTGTCCTGCAGGCCTCAGCAGGCCAGGACTGACGCCTCCTTCAGGAGTTTCTTATATTTTCAGGGCCAGAGTATGGGGAGCCCTAGCGTCTTTTCTTTTCCTAAACTCTTCCCTGGACCAATCAAAGGGGCGACTGCAAGAAGTCAGGATCGTGGGAGTGAAGTGACAACTACCCCTACCCCGTACCCGGTCCTGCCCAGGAGGTCCTGCAGCCCGCGCCGCCCGCGCCACGGCTCACCTGCACGAAGCCCCAGAGCGGGTGGAGCGCGCAGTGCAGCAGCAGTGAGGGCCAGCAGCAGCCACGGCGCAGCACCAGGTCCCGGAGGAGCATCTTGGCTCGCGGCACCCGCTCCCGGGGCGAACTGTCAGGGGAGCAAAGCTTGGGTCAGGCGGGCGCCGCTGGCATCATCCCGGTCGCGCACCCGCACACGTAGCAGTCCGGGTTGGGCTGACACGGCTCACACCCTGGGGTACCCTCGCAAACCAAGCCTGGCCCTTCACTCCAGCTTGCACACTCGCTGACTCTTCATGGACAATCACAGAGGCCGGCATCCTAGAACTCACACTCCGTCGTGGTGCACACCCCCAGAATCCTGCGTGCATATTGTAGCCCCAGGCACACCTCCAGAAACAACCAAGCACACTTACCGAGCCCCGTGCACCTCCCCGGAAACGGCCATGCAAACTCTATTCCACTGTGAGCACACTTCAAACCCGGCGGGCACCACTCACCCTAAGTGCACATCCACAGAAACAGCCATGCACACCCACGGACTCCTGTCCGCACACTCGCTGACCCTGCATGCCCAGCACCATGAAATCACACGCTGCGTGCACCCTCTCTGCCCCGCCGGCCCTCACTGCGCACACTGCAACATATGCACCTCCGTGCGCACCCCGTTTGCCCTCGCGCGCACCCCGCTTGCCCTCGCGCGCTCTGCCGAGCCCTGGCCTCTTGCCTGAGGGCGCGAGCTTTCCCTACGTCTCCATCTCCGCCCGCACCCCTCCAGTGCCTCACGCCACCTTGCTTAGTGGCGGCCCCAGCCGATTCTCGGTGCGGGGAAAGGAGGTCCTCACTCCCCCCGCGGCAGAATCTGTTCCCGAGTCGCCAGACGGCCCCCATTTAAAGCCAACCGCCTCCCCAGTCCCCCGCCCTCTAGGCGGAGCCTCGGTCCTCACCCAGGCGACTGCGCGGGCGCCCGGAGGCTTCACATGCCGGGGAGGAGCGCCGGGCACTGAAGCAAAAGTTTGCGCGCGGCTTGGGCCTCCGGGGCGGCTGAGCCGGGGCCCCGAGCAGGGCGCGCTCGCACGGGGCGCAGGGCACGGTGGCGCCGGCTTCGCCC